AAGCTTTGACATTTCATTTCATTATTAGAGAAAGAAGACGATTCGTTGTACCGTTCTCGACTTGTCAGAATTTTCAAAAATGTTTCCTTGTCTGCTCCTTATTCGTCCTATGTCCTCTTACTGCCCCTACCACCCTTGGCTACGCGCCTGCTTTAAAAGGTAATTCAATCGACAACGATTGAATACCTTGCAGGATAAAAAAATATCTGTTATAATTAATGGTACCTTACTAGAATGTGTATCTGAATATAAGTGTCTGGGGGTGTCGATTGATGATACTCTGACATTCAAATCTCATGTTACTTCTATTGCAAAAGTCATGAAACAAAAACTTGGCCTAATTAGAAGAAACAAGTATATATTTAATGTTGATCAACTCAAAAGATTATATTGGGGATTTGTTCTCCCCCATGCATTATATTGTTCAACCGTCTGGTCATCTTCATCCGAATCTAACTACAAAATATTAAACACGCTACACAAGCGCGCAGCATATATTGTAAGTGGATATACTTGGGAAACCTCATCGGAAACAGTTTTTCGAATACTAGCCTGGCCTACTCTAAAAGAACTGTTTAACAAGTCAATATCATGCATGGTGTATAAATGTGTAAGTGGGGTAGCACCATCCCAGTTAAGTAGTAAATTTGTTTTAAATGACAATGTCTCTACACGTGTAACACGAAGCACCAACAGGTTGTTATTACGTATCCCTCAATGCAAAACTCAATTTTATCGGAGGACATTTGTACCAGTTAGTGTAAATGAATGGAACTGTTTGTCCGATGAATGCCGATCTGCCCAGTCCTTAGCCATTTTCAAAAAATGTATCAAACCTGGCAATAAATAGCTTTTTTTAATGAAGGTGGAGGAGGGGGTTGCAGTGAGGTCAAATTCATTTTATGCTTGATTTTAATGTAATTTTTAGTTTGTAAACAGGTGGTAAACAGGTGTGTGTGTGTTAGCTTTCGTTACCCCTGTCATTTCTATATATAATATTGTTCATTGTCATTTTATGTTGTTTTTTAAACAGAGCCCTGTTGTAAACCAGCCTATTTTAATGTTTTTAACAATGTTTTGTAATGATTTTTAGCTGAACATGTTACTCTGTATAAAGATGCGAAATAAATAAATAAATAAATAAATAAATAAAGGAAAATGAAACAATCATGATTGTAATAGCACACAATTAGGTCAGTAGAAATGAACGGGAAAAAAAGAAAGATCTATTACACCAACCATGGATAAATCACGCCCGGGAGCGTCAGATCATAGTTTTGTGTTATCGGGCGAGGGCCGTGGAGTAGCGGCCAAGCGAGATTTTTCAATGTTGAAAGCTGAAATTATGCATTCTAGAAAATACCTAAGCCCAATATGTACGTTCTTTCCGCTATATTTCTTTCGAGCTATATTTCTAAATTTCCTGGGGGACGTGTCCCCCTATCGGGCCAGGATTGCCGCCCCTGTTCATGATTACTACGAAGATGAGTTCAAATACAAGAACAAGCGAGTCAGTATGAGCTGAATTTAAATGAAGGGCAAAATAAGAGTTGTAAAGCGGCCCTACCGTTAATTTCAAATTGTATGAGTATATAGCTTCTATTTAAAAGACATCCAAAATATGGTGCCCTTTTCAAATTGCTCACTAAAGAGTGATGACCTTTGTAGCGCAGGGGCTGTTTTTAACGTTTAACTTTGAATCCGCGGCTCGAGATTTTATGCGGCCGGCCCGGCCCTCTCTATTCACGAACGTTTGTCAAGCCTTCTGGAATGACCCCAAATCTCCCGATTACAGTTGTCCCTTATTCGTCGTTACTCTCACTTAGCGCCATTTCCTTTTCTTTCCCCCTTTCTCACCCGACTTTTCTCTTCCCCCATTTTTGTGTATTACGGGCCGGACTTCGTTGGGAGATTTTGGTCACACAAATTCGGTCCCTCCGCCCCCGGAGTGGGAGGGAAGGGGGGGGGGGCGTTCTTCGTGTTATTTTCTACTTTTTTTCTCTCTCTCTCTCTCTCTCTCTCTGTTTCTTTTCTTCTCTTCTCCTTTCATTTTTCCTCTTCTTTTCTTCCTCTTTTTTCCTTTTTTTTGCGCCGCCAATAGGGGGGGGGGGGGCCGCGGCCGTTTCGGCCACCCCCTGGATCCGCCAATGGTTGTAGTCATTCTCGAAGTCGTCACAGCGGATAAGAAGTCACAGTTCGTAGGGAAAAAAACTTGTCGGCCGACCGAAAATATACATCTCCTTCTCATCGACGTCAAACCTCTGCATTGATATAGTACACGAGGATCGAGCAAGAATACCAACACAGCTGAACCGACACAGCAACATATTTATCTGTGTCTTTCTTGTTCCCTCGACGAGACGACTCCACCCAACAACCCCCATAATTCTCTCTTTTACTTCCATTCCTCCTTTCTCAGACTCTCACCTTCCCTCTCTCTCCCCTCTTTCATCCCCGTTTCTTTTGTTTCCCTTTCACTCTTTTTCCTCCTTTTTTTCCTTTTTTCTTTTCTTTCTTTTCCTTTCTTTCCTCTCCTCCCTCTTTTTCTTTTTTCTCTTTCTTTCTTCTTTTTTCTTTCCTTTCTTTTCCTTTCTATCTTTTCTTTTCCTTTTCTTTTTATGTTTTCTCTCCCTTTCCCTTTCTTTTTTCCCCCCTTTTTTTTTTCCCTCTCTTTTTTCCCTCCCCCTTTTCTCTTTTTTCCCGACGGCAGCGCAATTTTACAGACAATATCCTTTGGCGACGCACCTGCCTTCCGGCATAAGCCATTCATATCGCCCTTCGTATGATAACATTTCTTATGATAAAGGAATGGACTAGCATTAAATTGAAAGATGACTTTTAACGATAATAAAAGTCTATGAGAAGAGAAACAGGGAAAGAGAGAGAGAGAGAGAGAGAGAGAGTGAGATAGAGAGAGAGGGGTTGGGTGGGGAGAGAGAAGGGGGCGAGTGGCAGGCCGTAAATTGATAGAATCGTTCTCAAACAAAATTACTGTATAGATTATAAAGGAATTGAATTGAAATATGATGGTGCAAATCGGTAAATCATCTTATACCAATGTATGCACAAAACAACAAAAACTATTGCTGCCGAAATACACTGTCAAATATGCTAGTGCAATCCTTTATGATAAATGAATGTATACTACTACTAGCAGGCGCGTACGCAGGATTTTTTCAAGGGGGGGGGGGGTTTAACATTTTTAAATCTGGCCGAAAATTTCGCAACGACTCAGCCAGCTGCCAAATAAGCGGGGGGGGGGGGGGGGGGTAAGAGGACACTTTTTTTTGGGTCCCAAAAAATCGCAACGACTCAGCCAGCCGCTGAATAAGCGGGGGGGGGGGGGGGGGTCTCGAAATGTAAAAATTTGACATTTTGCTCTGTTGGAGGGGAGGTCAGGTCAACTTTTTTTAGGTCAGCCATTGATATATATATATATTTTTTTTTTTTTTTTTTTTTTTTATTTTTTAATTAAAAAAAACAAACAATGATGATACACGTGTATAAAATAATGGGGAGAGAAGGGAAGTAGGGGAAAAGGGCGAGAAAGAGAGATGGGGGTGGAGAGGACAAGAGATAGAGAGAGAGAGAGAGAGGGAGAGAGAGAAAGAGAGAAAGAGAGAGAGAAGGGCTGGGGAGACGAGGCCGAATTTGATGACATTTTTCTCAAACGAAATTACTATGTAGAATATGTAGATAATAATGGCATTCAATCTCATTAGTTTATTACTCGGAATGTAAAAAACTCAAATTCGTTAATGGTATGGACAATATCAGTAAAATTTCATAACAATTTGAAGTAAGAGCAAAAGCATTATTAACGAAGAATTTATCATCATTGTGAAATATAGATATAAAATTAAGAATGATAAGGGCTTTTTCAATGATGATGCGTAAACAATGTAATTTATTTTCTCCAACTGTTCCTAGATGTAAATATGTAACTGAAAATAAACGATTCTGTAGAAATGTCATGCTCTACCTACACAACTGAGGTGTCTCTCATAAAGTTGTATGATATATTATTTCTTGTGAAATCATTAGCTTGAATTACAAAATATCAAAGGACATTTGCTTTCTAATCATGTGGCAATGCATGGACCAAATCTTCTTAAACGAACCAAATCTTCTTAAACGAACGTGCATCATACAAAATAACTATTTCATTGAAAAAAGGTCTTTTCATTCTAGTTTAAGTAAATGCATTTCCCCAGTAAACTATAGCAGAAATCACCTCGAAATAACTAGTTTTTATGTTTTAAAACTCCATCAATGTTTCCAATCATTTAGAATTTATATATATATATATATAATGTTAAAAGAAGGTATAGTACGGGATATTCATATATAATTATCGATATGATAATTAAATACAAGTCATGATCCAAAAGCAAAAATTGTCAGATAAAAAAAGAACATTAACTAAACTGTGGATACTTCATTGTGTAACAGTGATTAACAATAATTCCAAGTATCAATTTAAAGAAATCAAAGCTTCCCTCTTATCTGGAACCCCTCCCTATATTACACTAATTTGAATGCTCGAAGTAGGAAATTGTACGCACATTCGTGAATTTGATTTCACCGAACATGAATAAGAAAATTTCATAATTATTACACATTCTACATTATGTGTGTTTTCTTTTGTTTATTGTTTTAAAGTTTGATTATTTAATATTTAACATGAATACATATGTTCTTAACTTATTTATAATCTTGTTAAAAAAAAAATTGTTTTTAATTTATATATATATATATATAAATATGCAAACAGATTATGATGATCATATGTAACTTATTCAATTGTTTATCTTTTGGGTCTACCAATATAGTTTTAATTAAGTAAAGTGTTTATAGCTTATTTCCTATTATTGTCGTGTTATGGTTGTGAATCTGTCAGTGTTATATTACTTTTGTTTATATGTCATGATTATGTTGTTTTTTATCGACACATGCCCATATTCACCTGCGAGCGACCTTGAATTTGGATGAAAAAAAAATGCAAAATTGGCCACAAAGACCTATATTAGTTTAAAACTTTGAGTATTATTATCATCACCAATTTACAACAATATGAACTGAAATATGCTCACTGATTAATTTGTTTGTAGATCTACTACCAACGAACCAAGGGCGCATGATTCTCCGGCAGGGGCCACATTATAGAGACTGACTTTTCCAAGTCTCCAAAAGTGTCTCGAAAATTGCCCAAAAGTGCTTATATCCATTATACAAACTACTAAAACCTGTTGGCATGTCGGCAAAACCTCTATTTAACAGACCTAATTAAATTATGATCAGCTATACTACTCAATATTTCTTATATTCATGTGATATTTAACATCACTGTAGGCATATCAAATGCATAATAAAATTGTAAATGAAAGATGATTTTGTGGTTGTAAACACTGAATTGTTAAAACTTGACCGACTGCTTCTCATGAACCACGATGGCACCGGGAAAATTAAGAGTAGAAGTATACCATCAGCAGCTGAAAAAATAAGATCAAGGAAAAATGATTTCACATTGGTATCCACGGAAATTTTACCAAATTATGATTGAAAGATATAATTTTCATAAATACCAAATGGGTAAGTTTTGATGATTTAACGTTACAAAATGTAAAATTTCATCTTTTTTTGCAAATACCATCATACAAATCAACTTTTCAATTGCTTCACATTTATTATCCACTTCGATTAAAAAGATTCGATATTTTGTTTAAATGTCATGAAATATGCGAGGAATCCCTTATTAAAAGTCTAGGACGGAAAACAGGAGCATAATCAGTTGCGAATCCAGAATTAGTCCCCCAAAATTTGCGAATCGCAAAAAGGAAACAAAACAAAAAAATTGGGGGGACTAAAATTGAGGGGATTAAACATTATTGATTAGGGACACGTTCTCCTTTTATAAATTTGTACTTGAGGTATGCCACATAATATTTATTGCCATGCATGCCCCTGTGTCCCTCCCCCTTGATCCGCCACTATTATTGTATACTTACTTGGTATACTTACTTGCTACTTGGTATACTTGGTAGATTAGCCCTCTTTTCCTAAGGGAAGGGCTCTCAGTTGACTTTTAAAAGTCGCCACTGTAGGTGCAGACACTACTTTTTCTGGTAGGTTGTTCCAAGGTTGGACCACTCTGTTAGTATAAAAGTGGCCAGTCAGTTGAGTTCTGGAACGTCTTTGGAACACTTTTCTAGAATGCCCTCTTAATTCCTTATTTGGGTGGGAGAAGAATCTTTGTGCTGGAGTTGTGTAATAGCCATTAAGGTATTTGTACAAATTGATAAGGTCTGTTCTTGCTCTTCTCTCCTTCAATGTCTCAATAGGAATTTCCTTGTTACCAAGACGTAGGCATTTGGTCTGCACCTTCTCTAACTTCTCAATATTCTTCTTTGTAAGTGGGCTCCAAGCAGATGATGCATATTCCAGCGCTGGACGAATTATGGATTGGTACAAAATGGTGATTTTCCTTTCATCCAGTGCAGTGAAACAGCGTCGGAACATTGCAATCTTACAGCGAGCCTTTTTAACTAGTTCATCAACATGTTCGTTAGGGGTGAGGGTATTGCTAATTATAACTCCCAAGTCCTTTTGGTTTGTCACTTCCTGCAGATGAACACCATTGATAGAATAATTGTAGTTAATAGCTGCTCGGATGCGCAGGACAACACATTTTTCAGCATTGAATTCAAGTAGCCATAGTTTAGACCATGCAGCGAGTGCATTTAAGTCTCTCTGTAGTATGTCACAATCATCTTTCGATGTTATTTGGCGGTAAATCTTGGTATCATCAGCAAACATCTTAGCAGTAGTGAGAACCATATATGTGCCTGTCATAATTATATTGAAAACATCATTATCTTACTTCTTCCAAATTGAATCTGGCCTTGTCACCGCGGCTCTTTGATTCGAAGGTAGCTGTAAAACAAACCAACAAGAAAAGAAATTTCGTCACAAAATTAATATTCAACTCATTTATTTTAATGCCACTTTTTAAAGTTTTTAAAAAAACGCATCCCCAAAATTACGCTGAAAGTCTGGAGCTTCATAATTGATGCTAACACATACAGTGAGATTGCAAAATTGATATTGCAAAAAAAAATTGTTGAATAGCTAGCGCAGGTTTAAAAATAATGACGCAATCGAAAAATGGCGCCTCCTGTACAACGGACATGAAAGACTGCAGTGTCAGGTTTTTGTCATTAATTGGTTGTAATTCACTAACCTTGACGAAGGGATGAATTTAGAATGTCCCGAAGTTCCCAAGCATCAACCTCCATGTCCTGAGGAAAAACACAATAAAATTGTATAATCAATTTATAATTGGGTATTTTTGGCTTTATGTTGATATACCATAGACTTAATTATGTTTTGACATTGGTTATATACTTTATCAGTAAGTATCATGTACACCAATCGTCTCCACACACTATTTTGCATTCGATATAATTAAAGGCAAGTTTTTAACATAAAATCTATATAGAGAACGATACAAAATCAATGTAATTAATAATTCGGAAATGCATACAGCCTATTGACCTTTACTTTTGATAAATTGTTTTAAAATTTTGTCATAAGAATGTTTAATGAAAGTTCTAATTAACACATGTCTTTAAAAACGACGTGTAATATTATTATTTAACGTAATATTATATCTAACGTATTATTATGTCAAACGGTGTGTTCTATTTAATGTATCAATTCTTGTTTTCTTTTCTTTTAAAACCAAGTGTGGATTTTTATCGTCTTCTCACTTCATCACTCTCCTATGATAACGTAAAGAAAAAATCATAACCGGATGGGCAGTTTGGTAAGAATTCACAGCAGAAAGAATAGTGTGGGAACGGTTTTCATTTTCTATCGTTACTTTTTGTCAAAAATAAATCATCAAACTTTTGAAATAGGCCACTACAAAATGTGTGAGCGGTTCCAAATTGTGATTTTCGTTTGTTTTCATAAGCGTTTGAACAAACTTGTCTAATATTTTTGCCTGCCTTCCCCTATTATGATTCACGGTGTGAAAGGCCTTGGAAAGGTCTGAAAATATTGCCTTGAGTGCAAAATCATTGTCAAGCAGGCCTTTGTTTGCTCATGTCGGGCAGGCCCTTGTTGTACATTGTCAAGTGAGCATTGTGTTGCAGTATATGCTGAACTCGATAACCAAATTGTATTTTACTAAAAATATCATATCCATGCAGCAAGTGAGTCGTTCTTTTCTTCTTTACAAACAAGATGTTTACCAAAATGTGAAGACATCAATAATTCATCGAATTTACGTGTATGAAAGCACTCCTTCATAAAATTGCATTTTCATTTTTCAACTGTAAAATAATACAAATTCTGATCTGATCTTTGTTTTACTTTCCTTTGATCTTCTCCTCATCTCTCTCTCTCTCTCTCTCTCTCTCTCTCTCTATAGCATTATATTCTGGCTCCTCTCTCTCACACTCTCTCTCTCTCTCTCTCCTACTCTCCCCTCTGTTCTGTCTTCCTTTCTCTCCCTCCCCTCTCTCGTTGGCTAATTATTTAAAATTCACATTATATATATATATATATATATATATTTTTTTTACCTGTCCGGACAGTTCTTTGAAGGTTTTTTTTAACCGAATCATGTCAACATCTTCCTTTTCTTCTCCTCTCCGCTGTTGAATAAATATTTCCAAAATAACTTCATGTTATAAACTTGTTCATTCAATGTCATTGACTTTTAAAGTTAACACATATTCTTCACATCGTTATATTCCAAGTTAGAGGTTTAATCGAACTCTTCCAAACCTTGATTTGCAAAATTATTCTGAATTTATTAAACATTGTATCTACAATAATGATACATTGTACATAATGACATTTATCTAATTCAGTTCTCGTTGAAATATCATTAAACTACATTAAATAGTAGTAGTATAGTTGTTGTAGTAGTAGTAGTACGTGTAGTTGTAGCAGTAGTAGAAGTAGTAGTAGTAACAATAAATATGATAATTATGAATATAACAATTACAATAAAAACACAACTATTATTACTACTTCGACTACTACTACAACAACAACTACTACTACTACTACTACTACCAGGCGCAGATCCAGGATTTCTTAGGGGGGGAGGCCCAAATTTGAAATTATGCGAGCCAAATATTGGTACGTAATGGTGACCAACAGTGACGTAATGCGGGGGGGGGGGGGCGAGTTTCCCCCTCGCAAGCTTTAACGTTTCATTATATTATTAGAGAAAGAAGACGATTCGTTGTACCGTTCTCGAAAATAATTCTCGTCTGAATTTAGTTTTTCCCCTTCCGCGCGAAGGGCCGAAAATTTTACGATTTATTAAATTATTAGAGAAAGAAGACGATTCGTTGTAGAGTTCTCGACTCTTAATCCTCGTCTGAATTCAGGTTCCCCCCCCCCCCCCCTCCCGCGCGAAGCGCGGAAGCTTTTACGATTCAATAAATTATTAGATAAAGAAGACGATTCGTTGTACTGTTCTCGACTCTTAATCCTTGTCTAAATTCATTCCCCCCGTCCCCCTCCTGCGCAAAGCGCGGAAGCTTTGACGTTTTATTAAACTATTACAGAAAGAAGACGATTCGTTGTACCGTTCTTGACTCTTAATCCTTGTCTGAATTCAGTTCCCCCCCCCCTCCCGCGCAAAGCGCGGAAGCTTATACGTTTCATTTAATCATTAGAGGAAGAAAACGATTCGTTGTACAGTTCTCGACTCTTAATCTTTGGCTGAAATCAGTCCCCCCCCCCCCCCTCCCCTCCTGCGCGAAGTGCGGAAGCTTCTACGTTTCATTAAATCATTAGAGAAATAAGACGGTTCGTTGTACAGTTCTCGACTCTTAATCCTCGTCTGAATTCAGGTTCCCCCCTCCCGCGCAAAGCGCGGAAGCTTTTAATCTTCATTCAATCATTAGAGAAGAAGACGATTCGTTGTACCGTTCTCGAAAATAATCCTCATCGGAATTTAGTTCCCCCTCCATCCCGCACGAAGCGCAGAAGCTTTTACGTTTCACTAGATCATTAAAGATTCGTATTACCGTTCTCGCCTCTGAATCCTCTTCTGAATTCAGCCCCCCCCCCTCCCCTCCTGCGCGAGGCTTTGACGTTTTATTATTAGAGAAAGAAAACGATGCGTTGTACCGTTCTCTATACTCTTAATCCTTGTCTGAATTTCAAAGATGTTCTTTGTCTGCTCCTATTTCTTCCTACGTCCTCTTCCGATTTGGGGGGGGGGGCCGTCCCCCCCCCCCCTGGCTACGCGCCTGCGGTCAGATAAACACATCTTGATACCTTGTCCGATCCCGCAAGCTCAGGGGATTTAAGGCAATAAATTACGGTCAGATAAGCATTCAGGGGCCCGCCTTAGGGCCCCTGGTGGGGTCGAGGCGGCGAAGCCGGCCCCGGAAGCTCAGGCGTTTTAGGCGTTTAATTAAGGTCAGATGAACATATTTTTTTGTTTACCTTGTTATTTTGCGACACTGGCAGGTCACTATTTGGCGTGGGGTCCAGGTCCAAAAATCAGGGGTTTTAGGCATTAAATTACCGTCAGATGATCATCTAAGGGCCCGCCGTAGGGCCCTAGATGGAATCCAGGGGGCAAGGGGAAGCTTAGGGGTTTTAGGCATTTAATCACGGTCAGATGAGCCTCATTTTGATGCCTCATTATTTTGTTAACACTGGCAGTTAACTATTCTCACTTTCTTGCTCTCATTTTTTTAAATTTCTCTTTAATACACTTTTTCAAGAAAAGTGGGGGGGGGGGGAGCTCGAGGCTCTCGATCCCCGCCGTACCTCGGGCCCTGACATGTAGGAATCTCAAAAATCATATTTTTTCGCCTGGCTGTAAATTAAGAAATTTGTCATTTTCCAACAAACACATACAAACGTATAATTTACTAAACAGTGAGGAAAAATTTCGGAAATTATGTCATTTCAGCATTATTTGTAATCCACCGTTGTGGAATTAGAAATAAACCACGTTTGAATTTGATTTTGATTGGGGGGGGGGGGGGGTTAAAAGCCTGGGAGGCAAGGCCCTTTCGGCCCCCCCCCAATCTCCTTCTTCCCCCTATTCTTTTCTTCTTCCTCTTCTTTCTTTCCCTTTTTCTCCTTTTTCCCTTTCCCTTCTTTTCCTTTTTTCTCTTTTTTTTTTGCGGGGTGGGGGGGGGGGGGCAAGGCCCGCTCGGCCCCCCCTGGATCCGCGCCTGAATTCAACCAATATACATCTTCTTTTTTTTGGGGGGGGGGGGCACCTAAGAAGGCCCCGGTAGCACCGAAGCTATTCATCGCGTCCCAATAAAAAACGCGTAAAAAGGCGTATATTTCTCAGACTAGAATAATTATTTTAACAAATACTATATGTTTGAACATATTTGTGGCTTACACCCAGTAAAAAAAAAAATACTATATGATGTGTAAAACCCATCGATGATATAGTATAGTATTAATGACTGCTTTGAGAGAAATAGTTGTTTTATTACGCTCAAGGGAAGGTTAGAATTGTGCTATTCCCCGAGGCTTGCCGAGGGGAATAGCCCAATTGTAACCTTCCCGAGAGCGTATGAAAACAACTATTTCTCGAATATTAAAGCAGTCATTAATACTTTTATATGCCGAAAAAAATAGACTAAAAAATAAAAAATAAAAATATTTTACATTTTTGTCGAAGACGGGATTCGAACCCTTGCGTACAACAAGAGGTGTATCGAAAACCAACGCTTAGACCACTCGGCTATCGCGGCGCCGTTAACATGCTCGGCAGTTTTCTCCAATATATACATTGAAATGGATTGAAAACGGCTCCGCGTGAGGGATGCTTCGCAAAAGCTCCATGAAACGGACCCTTCTTTTACTTTTGCAATGCATATTGTCACGAACTTAGATCAAGATCTATCGGCAGATGTTGTTTTTTTGTTTTTGAGAGTTAATTTTCGTCTTCATGTCAACAATGCAAGATAAAATTGTCGGTAAGATCGATCGAGATTCAATTGTATTGAAATTGCCGACCAATTTTTCGCACACGTATGGTATCCTCCATCGCTCAAACCATTTTTTAACATGTAAACCTATGGGGTAACCAAGGAGACTGACCTATTTTTTTAATAACCATGGTTATTAAAAATATTGAAATGTTTTATGCATGGTTACCGGGAATTTTACAGGAACAGTTGAAGTTTATGAATGCAATTCGACCAATCAGATGGCTGGATTTCTTAAGTGAGGTATATAATTGTAGATAACAAATTGTACACCGCGGGCACTTAAACCTTCAATAACAATGCTTAA